CTGAGAGGCCTAATTGGCTTTTGCCCTTTATAGTACCTTCTTTTGCCTAATATCATCAATGTCTTTCTTCCTTGTTAGCAGGAGGAGGTTCAAATGAGGGCCAAGATTGTTCACTGAATCCTTGGCAGATAGAACTATTATTAGACTCCAGACCTTTCAACTTTATGATACTGAGATTGTTGTCAGTCAGACTTCCTTCAGGGCACACTTGTAGCCAAACTTCAGGAAAACATGACATTTCTTATGTTCAAGTGTTGTACAAACTGCTCTTCGGGTATTATAAGGCTTATAATGATGAGTTGAGATACAACTACTTCAAGTTACTCAAAGTAGAATGTAAAATGACATGAGGCAGAGTTCAAGAGCATTATATATTAATGAGATTATATTATATTAATGAGATTATATTATATTATATTTAAGAGCTTTATATATTACAGAGATCCAAAGAAGTAAACCAGTCACATCTAGTGAAATTATGAAGAAAGACTTTGTCCATGAAGTGGCATTTAACTAAGCTGCATTTTTAAATTTTTAATTCTACTTTAGCATATATAAATGAATAAAAATACTAATATTTAAAGACCTATGTTTTATGCATGTGTAAAGTTAACATTAAATACCGACAAAACTATAAAATCTAATTTACATCATTAATGAGATAGTGAAATGTTGCTGAAATGAGATCCTTGCTTACAGTGTAAATTTGTGTAGGTCAGTGTTTTAAAGTGAAGGTTTGGGGGCCAGGATGCTCGAATTGGAATCTTTGCTTTGTTACTTCCATTATATGTGCTCATAGATGAGTTGCATAGTTTCTCTGAGTTTTTGATTTATCACTTAAAAAATGGAAGTTCCTAATATAAAGGAACCATTGTGAAGATTAATGTAGGTAGAATGACTAGGAGCCCCAAATATAATATAAATGTTAAATAATTTTTCCTGGAATCATTACTGAACATTATGGCAAAGATTATTTTAAGCTCAGTATTCCTACCATGAATGTCATGGAGTGATCCAGTTATTCCACTTGAATTCATATTACTGTGACACTTTGCTGTTGAGACTAATTTGGAGCTGTGACATCATTTGACATTAGCTGACAGGACTGCATTATTAACTTATTTGTATGCTCTAATAGAAAATACCTATTTTTTTTACAATGAGAAATATAGTTAATATATGGGCTAGATTACATAAGTGGGTATTCTCACTACAGTCAGTAATCTCACACCTATTCTCTCCCCTAGGAGTTAACTAGAAAACTGAGTCATTGAGAATTCATTATAAAGTTTCTCCCATGGGGCCTATCTCCCTCATTCCCAAAAAAGGCATAATCAGAAGTTGTCTTGATAATGTGAAATCAAGGTCCATCAACTAGAAGAAAACCCTGTATGTTTAGTCTATATTATAGGTAGCAGGACTGATCCTTTTTTTTTTTTTTTTTTTTGTATGCATTTCTGTTTATTGGCTAATATGAAATGTTTGCACAGTATCATAAACCAAACACAACCCTGCCAATATCCACATATGCATATGGCTCAATATTTAACAAAATCTCTATAAATAACTCATTCATGAGGGAAAAGGTAATTTAAATGAACCTACAATCTATATAAAACACTGAGGAACTTGGTAGTGATGTGGGGAGTAGGAGGGAAACAGAAGGTTTGATGATCTCAGTGTGGCAGGGCTGTGTGTTGGAAAGAGTAGTGCTGTAGTATTTGACACCCTTACCAAGCTTGGATTTGAGAACCTTGGAGGAAAGAGTTCCTTTCACAGACTACCTTTGGTCAAAATCCAAGTCAACAAAACTCCTACTCTTTGCCAGCAAACACTGCAGGACTGATCCTTTTAAAGATCAATCTTGGAAGATAAGTAGAATTTTGGAAAAGGGAATAGCATTTAGGTGATGAATATAGCTTAGCATAGATATGAATGTTTATGTTTTAGGTCCTAGAGGTCAGTAAGCTATGCATATCTCGGGCATAGAATATATAAAGGAAGAGAGAGATTAAACTGAGAAAGTGGGTTAGAGCCTTTTCCTGGAGGACTTTGCATACCAGTTTGAGAAATCAAGTATGCACTCTCCTTGCTCCCCAATTTTGTTTTTGTGTCTTAAACAGCAAAATGGTATTAACATTTTAGTGTGAAAAGGTGGTCGTAGCAATGAGAAGGAAGTCAGGAAATTTCTGGTTTTGTGGGAAGTTACTAAGAGGCTTTGGATATGTTGAATTGAGGTCTAGTAGAGCATTGAGGTCAAGTATAAGCATTCAGCAGGAAACTGGCAAAACCCAAAGTAAAAGCAGGATAAAAATTGAGAGTTATCTTACAGGTTATGGTTGGAATTATGAAAGATCATCATGAGAGAGAAGGGTTGAAGGACTCACAGTGAAGAATGCTAATTTACCTTAAGAAGAAGGAAAGGGAGAGGAATCAGAAAAAGAATAATTTAAGGACTAAGAGAACTAAGTGTACATAGGAGAAGATTACAAAAGGAAGGAGTTGATCTGAAGATTGAGAAAGAGTTGACGATTGGAAATCACTGCTGACCTTCAAGAAAACATGTTCCTCCTGACTTATATATTATTAAATTATAAAGGAATAAAGAGTGAATGGATTCTGAGGGAGTGGAGGCAGTGCTTGCAAACAGATCTTTAAACAGTTTGGCAATGAAAGACGAGGCCAGGCATGGTAACACATGCCTGTAATTCCAGAGTCTTGGGAGGCAGAGAAAAGATGATTGCAATGTAAGGCCAGCCTCAGCAACTTGGCAAGATCTTGTCTCAAAAAAAAAAAAAAAAATTTAAAGACCTGGGGATGTAGCTCAATTGTAAACACCCCTGGGTTTAATTATCACTACCAAAAAAAAAAAAAAAAAAGATGCGAAGAGGGTGGTAGTGGATTGTAAGAAATAATTGTATTCTTTATAGAGGAGAAATAAAGCAATTGAGAGGAGAAAATAATAGAGAGAATATGAACAAGTACTTCACTAGATGGTTTATCCTTGATAAAGGAAATAGATCTAATTCAGAAATTAGGGGAAAGGAGCAGTGAGAGGATATCAAGAAACTAAAGAGGATGATAAGAAAAGGGGGAGAGTATGAGAAATCCTCACTATTCTCAAAAAAGATGAGATGGGAATCTGCTGAGAGGAGAGAAGATTGGAAGGGGCTTTGATGGTGGAAAAGGTGTGGAAGAGACACTGCTGTATATTTCTTAGTGGGTTTTTTTGATGAGTAGAGCGTTTTAAGGATAAGCCAGACTCAGCTAATGTGTATCTATCGTAGAGTTACTATCTTTCTCTAGGAATATTCAACTCAGTGATGACAAGGAAAGTAGATGTAGTATGTTACCCAGGACTGGGAAGATGTCAGAAGATCTTGGGGACAACAAATTCTAATGATTCATTAAGTGCTTGGTTGAAGTTACAAATGCAACCGTGAAGATGGGTAAAAGTACCAGTAAAATGCGTTAAAAAGTTTAGACTCTGAAGTTAAAGAGGAAATCCACTAGAGGACTAGGAAGTATAAAAGGAGTAGAAATTGACAGGTTTTTAATAGTTTTAAGTTGAAGCATATCTAATGTTAAGTCTTAAGTGTGTGTCACTCAGTTGGTAACAAAAGAGGAGTGGAGTTGGTAACTATAAAGAGAACAGACAGCCTGAAAGGCAAAAGTATTGGTAAATTTACCAAGGGCGTTAGCAGGAAATAGAATGCTATGAATCTCTTGGAGAAGGAAGATTGTGACAAGGGAGATGAGAGAATTGAAAAAGTCAATAGCTCGAGCTTCAATCAAGTCAAGGATGGTTGGTGAGTTAGGGTGGTAGAATAGTAGCATATGTGGACAGTAGAATGCAAGGATACTCTGATTCTCCTTCCATTATTTAAAAACTAGCCCTAGCTCACTAGTCTCACACAGCTTCAATTGTTGTATCAATGAAATCAATATAAAAATGCTATTTTCTTCACAGGATGAGAGAATTAAGATAACATATACAAAGCATAGATAAATATGTTAATATTCTTACTGCTATTGCTGTTGATAACACTGATGTGTACAAAAGATCTGTATCTTGTACACATTTTACTGTGCTGTGTCACTGGGTACAGCATAGGATAGATATCACTTGTGGCCAGTGTCACTCCTAATCATAAACAGTATCAATTCCAGTATTCCTCACATCATTTACCTTTAACTGCCAAGAGTAGCCTATGTTTAAATGCCCTTTTTAAGGTTTGTATCATCACAGAAATATGGTGTTTAGTAAATTTGAGGATAGGAATGTCTATGGAATCCAGGAAAATTGGTCACAATAAAGTAAGCCCAAGAGAATGTGCCAGTATAGATTTATATCAAAATAAATTGTGTAAACTGGGCATGGTGGTGCTCACCTGTAATCCCAGTGGCTTGGGAGGCTGAAAGTGAGACACTAAGCAACTCAGTGAGACCATGTCTCTAAATAAAATACAAAGTAGGGCTAGGGATTTGGCTCAGTGGTCAAGTGCCCCTGAGTTCAATCCCTGGTATCTATCTATCAAGCAATCAATTAATTGTGGGAGAGTTTCATAGAATTACGTTTCCAGATTTAAAATTGATAATGCTAAGGATTAGGAATATCAAGAATAGGGTTATAACCTAGAAGATTGTTTAGTTATAGGCTAATTCTCTAGGAAGACATACAAATATAGTAAAAGAATCCCAAGTGTCAAAACAGGACAGGCATAGAAGCTGGGAAAAAGGAGAACCCATTTTATTTTTATGTAGGTTCTCTTCCTATGGCCCACAGAACCTTAGCTCTAGGAAAACAACTTTGAAAGTGGGAAAAATGACTCTAAGTAATTTTGCCTTTATTCCTAGCCCTTTGAATTTGCCCTGAAAGAGTTGGGGTGTTTTTGTTTTTGTTTTTGTTTTTTGTAGCTTTGGCCATATGAAAGTAGATTGTTGACTTATGAGATTAGCTGTCTGCTTCTCTTACTATTCTCCCTCACTGTTTTTGACAGGTAAATGGTCAAGACCTAAAGAACCTGCTGCACCGGGATGCAGTAGACCTCTTTCGTAATGCAGGCTATGCTGTTTCATTGAGAGTGCAACACAGAGTAGGTGTCACTTGCAGCCATTGGGTTTTTGCACCATCCTTGTGAGTAAACCTGTGGGTGGGTGGGTTTGTGTTTTGTTTTGTTTTCTGTCACTACTTTGAAGAGCTTGTTTGGCACAGGCAGGAGTTCTCTGGTTCTTCTGTTTGTCATCAAAAGAAATTCGTAACAATATGCTTGTAACCCAGATCCTGCCTTCAAGGTAACGTTCTTTAAAGATAAAGCTTAATAGTCAAATTTAAATAGTTGGGGGGAAAATCACCTTTACATTTTGTTAGGGAAAGAAGCATATACCTGCCCTGGAAAAATCTTGTTTATAAAACTCTGGACTACAAAGATGGTGTATTTCCTGGATCCCTCATTTACTTGCCCTATCATTCCATGAACCCTTCTCTACCAACTTGATAACTCTTGACAAAAGCTATCATGCTCAAAGGGGAGTTCTAGGAAAAAGGAAATGGAATTCAAAATTGGGTTAAGACAATATCTGTCCCTCCATCACTTCTTATTTCCTAGTGATTATAATTTGGATGATGAATATGAAGGGTACTTAGTAGACAGTTCTTCCCACAGCACCAAGAATTTCTAAGTGTATTCACAGTACAGGTTCACTGTGCCTTTATAGTTATTCCTTCTTAAATTGGTATATTCTTTGCTTTACCTAGTGACTGAGTAAAGAGAGGCTATAGAAGTTTGAGAGAAACTAGTAAAAAAAAAAAAAATGGAGAAGGAAAAACACAAAAGCTGAGCTAGCACCTAGTATTACAAACAGAATGTGGGTATGATGGATTAGAAAGCAGGTTGATAAGCCCAGTGTAGTGGCACAGGCCTATAATCCCAGGCGGCTGAAGCAGGAGAATCGCAAGTTCAAAGCCAGTCTCAGCAACTTTAGCGAGACCCTAAGCAACTCAGTGAGTCCCTGTCTCTAAATAAAATACAAAAAAGGGCTGTGGATGTGTCTCAGTAGTTAAGTGCCCCTGGGTTCAATCCTTCAATCCTCGGTACCCACCCCAACAAAAAAAGAAAAAGTTGATAAGAGACAGTATTGGTCATCCACTGCTTGTGCCTTGACTCTTCTGTATTTCTAAAGTATGGGAGAATTTATGTAGTAGGTAAAGGCAATTAAATATAGGCATATACTTAAGATATAATTAGGATTCTTTTTAAAGGTGTGTGGGAAGTGCTTTGCAGTGTTCACTTTAGGGAGCATTTATAAATAATTCCTAATATAACAGATCCTGATGTTCAAGGGAATTGGCCTAGTCCTAAAATACATGTCTTCCTATTGAATATACCCTCTCAGAACATCAAGAAAGAAATGAAATGTGTAGAAGTGGGATAGAGGGTGTAAAAGGTAGTTTGTGTGGTCTTACCTTTCAGATGGAGGGGTTAAAGTTTCATAGGTTATCACAAGGAGGTATCTAACAAGATAGCACCATAATTATTGCAAGTTAATCATTAAAAGTTGATATTCAGAAGGGCCACCCTGAAAAAAATGCAATAAAGAAAGATAATCCAATCTCAAAAGGAATATTTAGGCATGAGAAATTATAATAACTAGTATATAATTTATTATTACTCACTTACCTCTCATTCTTTAACCTCTCTTCCATATAGGTTTCACCTTAGTGTTATAAATTAGGGCATGAAGGACAAGACCTCATCTTAGGAGGGAGGGGATACCTTCCAGGAACTGAAAAACATTTCCAAGTGATGGCATTGCACTTTTATTTACATTTCCTTGATCTGATCTTACCGCATTCTGATGATTAATAATCATATAAGCAAACATTCCAAGGAAGATATTCTCCTTCTCCCTTCTCCTTCTTAGTAATATCCAGGTTCCTCACAGGATACATAGGTTTCATCTCATAACTCCATTTTCCTGATATGAAACACATGCAGTGAGATGGAGGCAGTACAGAAACTGAGTACGTCTGACTTGCCCTTGGGGAACCCTCAGACCTATTTTTTCCTTAAACATCTGTGTCTACAGTGCACAAGCTCAGGACAATAGAAAATGCTTGAGTTTACCACTTTGGGTGCTCTACAGACTACAACCCTGGGTGATGTGTCAACATGACATTTCAATTGTGGTAAACACTGTAGTCACTAGAGTTAACATTTTTCTTTCCCTTCCAGTTACAGGAGCAGAATGGACCTATAGGACATCGAGGTGAAGGGGAGCCAAGTGGTGTTCCCATAGCTATGGTGCTGCTGCCAGTGTTTGCCCTCACCGTGGTTGCAGCCTGGGCCTTCATGAGATACCGGCAACACCTTTGAAAGTCTTGCTGTCTTCCAGTGCTCCCAGTGAACTTCCATTTCTTTTCTCCTCCTTCCCTGCTGTTGTCCTGTATCTTTCCCTCTCTGCATAGCCAACACATGATTTAAAGTGACTGATTCCCACCCAGAACATTGCTGTTCAGAAGCTCCAAGTCTTCATATTCTAATGGGAGAGTAAAGGTATTGTTTGAAGGAAAGCTGAAGAAAAGACTTGCTTAGAACAAATGAGGAGTTATATATTTTGCTAGGACTGCTAATAGAAATTCAGCTACCACCCAAAGATGGAACGGTCTAGTCTTCCTGTCATCATGGGTCACACCGTTTTATTAGCTGCCGTGTCTTGAAGGCCAGCTGTATGACAAGAGGAAGAGAGGATTTTTCTTTTTTAATGATCTTCCTTGGGAAGTACTTGTGGCCTTTATTTAATTTCTAAATATATTTTTGGTGCCTATATTGGACACAGGAGACTAAGAAGAGCTTTTTACTTTTTTAAAAAGCGAATACATATATATAATACAGATACATATGCATATATGACAGTATAATATTGATGCCTTATGGAAAATTAAAGAGGTGAGAAAACTGTTCTGTGGTTTCTAGATTTCTGTATATAAGGGCTAATCTTAATTGAAGAACTTTTAAACAGCTATTTGCAGAACATATGTAATGGGAAACAGGAAGTTGAACTTTCAAAGGGCATCCTAATCAAAGTCATTTAAAAAACAATAACTAAAGCAACTAATTAAAAATCAGAACAATATTTCTTTTCATACTAGCTAAGATGAAGTAGAGGTAAATTTGGTATAAGACAGCTCTGCTCAGGTCAATCAGTTCAAAAAACTTTGAGATATAAAGATAAGTCTTACCAATTTGTGGCTATACTAGTGGATTTTTTTGATACCTCACAGTACTGTTAAAGGATCAGTGGCGATGATTGTGGTCAGGGATATGGCAGTGGGACCAAACCAACCCATCAAGACAACTTCTGAAAGGACAAAAGATAGTGCCTTCAAGGAGGCATCTGAACCCTCTCAGGCAATCTACCAATCTTTTTGGTTTCTAGTAACAGGAAAAAACCTGAGAAAAGGAACTGCCTCCTGGACAGGATAAGCATGAAATCAGCTCTGTTTCTGATTTAGGGAATATGAGAAGGCCTGAATTACTAGCTTTTTGAAAGGCTCCAAACAATGAGTGTGGCTTTTAATACATTAAAATAAGCAATTTTTCAGAGACTGGGAGGAAATGAGTTTTGTTGGTTTAGGGTTAGGGATATTTGATGGCTGTTTCCTGGGGAAAGCCTGGAAAGAAAATATGGATGAATGGATGCTAGGGAATACGGGGGATATTGGTGACGTGGGACCCATCTTATTTAAGTGTTGGTTTTAAAGCACTAAGAATAACTGAACTAAGGCTTAGCCTTAGAAAGTCATTCCCATTCTCCAAATATACCAACCAGACTGGAGGCTTTATATCATTGTGACTTAAGATGATGAGGAATTTTCCTCAGGTAATAAATTGTATCCAGTTTTTAGCATGGACAAATTAACAGTTATTTAATAAAATTGATTGGACATCAGCTTTGTTGAGATGCTCTTACAAAGAAGTGAAATATTTACTTTCATCCTAAAGGGTTTTTTTGGTTCCAATTGGGAAGAGAAAGCTTTAAATGGAATTAGACACATAAACAGGGGAGTGTAAGTTGGTGTCAAGTTTATATTGCAGGAAGCAAAAGAAAAAAGTTAGAATTGAAGCACTTGAGGAAAGGGCACAAGTTAAGGACTCTTAAATAAGAGTTCACAGTCTAGTTAAGAAAATTCATAAATAGATGAAAAGTTTATTGTCAGATTAAGTAATAATTGAAAATAGTAATGAAAAGAAATAGGACCATGGAGAACATGAAGCAGCAATGAAGATCTACAGGTGGTCATCAGTTTTATTTTCTAGAGAGTTCAGAAAAGGAAATTTGTGTTTTAATGGCATCGGGCTAAATGGAAAGGGAAGGCCTTTCAAAATAAAAAGTTCCAGTAAGATCTTGCCTCTGGGTCAATTATTAACATAGGAAGAAACATGCTTTAAACAATCCTAACTTATGCCTTCCAACCTGAACTATTCAGTACTTTTTGAGACTCGTTGTAGGTTCCATAGAGAAAAACCAACAGTATCCAGTTATTATTTTAACCAGCCCACCATGAAGGCCCAATGTCTGGTGCTTTCCCTATATCTGATGGCAAGGCATGTGCAACTACTTCTATAGTGGCCTGTTTAACCTCCCAGTATTCACCTCAGGGTTTAGACATTAATTCATGAAAGACCTTGGGACATACAAAGTGAAGCAAATGGAAAGCAGAAAAGAGATTTGCTTTTTTACTTGTTAGTATATGTAAATAAAAAGCCACCTATCCCATCATCAGTATTTTTGTTTTGTGGTAATAGGATTCTTATGCACTTATATTACAGGTTTTCTTAGAAATTAAATAGCATTTAAAGACCAAACTATTAAAGTTTGATGCAAGTATTGCTATTTATTATGTTCTTCTAATTCTATGGAAAACAAATTATTACCATGGATGAGGTATCAGAATCCATTATATGGTGTAAAAAAATTCATATTCTTTATAGATTGAACCTAATATTCCTAATACTTAATACTGTTTTTAATATTCCTACCACCTAAATTATAATGAAGCTTTGAAAAATGGGACGCAGGTATTTTTAATGCCCTGTACTTTAAAATATTTCTCATACTTGTCATGATTATACATGTAATTTTCATTAGATGGGCTGCTTTTCCTGTGAAGTATTAACTTCTGTGCAAACGTCTTAGTGTAATCATTGGTCCATCTAGCTATGTATAATGGAAAAAGGAAGTTAATATTTGTTTTTGCATTCTGTGCCAGAAACTGTACCAGTGGTGCTCAAAGGGAGGTTTCTGGGCAAAAAGCATCACTACTGGGAAACTTGTTAGAAAAGCAATTTTTAGGCTTCATTCTAGACCTACTGAGAGTCTCTGAGTGTGGCAACCAGCAATCTGTTATAATAATCCCTCCAGGAGACTGATTGGTACACTATTTATGTCTCACAGCTCTGAGATCTAAGTATTGCTATAAAGAGACTACAGAGAGTATTTTCCTAAGATTATAGAGGTGGTAATAACAGGATTTAAACTTAGGATTTCAGGTACCAGTATCAGTTATATATATGGCAACCAGCAATCTTAATAATCCCTCCAGGAGACCAATTCATGATTAAGTTTGAGAGGTTACCACTCTGTGTTAGTAGTTTTCCTTTTTTTCTTAGGTGAGAATCACCTAGAGAGCTAGTGAAAGTAATTATGACAGCTATACTTCAGAGCAACATACGGATAGTAATATACAGGACTAGGACTCAGGCAGCAATAAAACAGGTTTATCAGGCAATTCCGGTTACAATCTAAGTTGACAATGTTCTTTGGCAATTGAATTTAGACACTGTTTAAACTACTAAATTACCTACAGGATTTATTCTTGCCCCAAACCAATAACTTTCCTTGGGCCATTTCAGAACCTGATATAGATGTGGATTAAGTAGAACATTCTTTCACTCCTGATGTGTTAATGAGAAACTATTCCACCTCCAGCAAAATATATGATTAGTGTTTCAGTTCATGCATCCATTAAGAACCAAATGATGGATTCCATCTCTTGGGTCCCCTTCTTCCTCCGGGAAGAAGTCTTTTCTACTGTCCTTTAATAAAGCTTCTACTTTCCACTCTAAAGAAAAAAAAAAAAGGAACCAAATGAGAGAATATTGAAGCTAAAAAGGAACCAGAAGGATTATGGAATGAATTTGCCTTAGAAATAAGGAAATCAATGTTTAGAGAGGTAAGCTAATTTAAATTGGTCAAACTTTTTTTAAGTTTGTTGTGGTGCCAGGGATCAAACCCAGTGCCTTATGCATGCAAGGCAAGTGTTCTACCACTGAGCCACAACCTCAGCCTTGCAGAGGTCCCCTTTTTCTCTCATCTTTTCCTTTTGAATGTGTCCACTGTATGCATATATACAAAAGTCCTTTTTAATTTCAGTCCTCATCCATCTTCTCTTTTTTGAACTTTAAATGAAGACCAGAACTGATAGCTGAAGGGTATTAACAAGCATCATGATTGGAATGGGAGATTTCATTGAACAATCTGAGAGACTTAATATTCAATTGGATGTGTTCTTCTAATAGTGCTAGAGACATTTGGTGTTTGGTGATGGATGTTGCTTTTAAATTTTAAAATGTACTTAAAAGAAATGAAACAAGGAACTATAGACTATCAAAAGTGTGGAGAAGTTGAGTTCCTATAGTTTATGTAGAGCCAATAAAGATTTTGTTCAAACCATATTCTGTGGAGATTTATCTTTGAACAGATGAGGATTTTTTTTCTTCATTCAGCAAATAACTAATGAGTATTTCTCTGTTAAATGCTGAAGATACAAAGATAAACTATTGCTTTCTAAGCTGAAACAGTTCAGCATCTGACAGTGGGGATGTTGATGTTAAATTATCTAATATTACCTAGAAGTCGACAATTGGATTTTGAAGCTCTCTACCTTTTTTCCTACAATAGGTTTAATGTAAGCTGCTATCCCAGGGCACACCCTTTTTGCAGTTCCTCTTTTTTGGGAGTGTATCAGGGGTTGAACTCGGGGGCACTCGACCACTGAGCCACATCTCCAGCCCTATTTTGTATTTTATTTAGATCTCACTGAGTTGCTTAGGGCCTCACTTTTGCTGAGGCTGGTTTTGAACTCCTGCCTTAGCCTCCCCAAAAGCTGGGATTACAGGTATGCACCACCATGCCCAATGCTGTTCCTCTTTTAACTGCAAATATTTTTGAGACCAGCACTTGCATCCAAAAGGACAATCAGGATCAAAAGGAAGACATATTTTAAGGAATCTGTTCTGGTTGGAACCAGATTCTTAATTGCTATATTCTTTTGTTTAGTGTTAGTATTTACAAAGCATGTGATCTACTTACCTGCTTCACTTGATAGCATAAAATTATTAAATTATTAAAAAGCATTATGGCTGCTAAGGAATCAAGTTATAGCAAACATTAATGCCTGTTCCTAAAAAGTTTCCTCACTGTTAATGTTCTCTATTTTCCCAGGAAAAATAGGGAAGGGAAGAGGGCTGAAGTAGATTTTCAAATGCAATGTAATTATTAACCAGCAAGGTCATTTACAAAATAACTTTGTAAATTTACTGACAAATCACAGGAAAATGGGTGATCCTTCCTCCTTGTTTGAAGATTCTCAAATGAAGACACAGAACTGAATCCCATTTTAATGCTGTATCTGCAGTGCTGCTTTGATTGTGAGTTTCTTATTACTGGATACTTGTGAATTTTACCTTCAAGCTATGATAGTTCTTAAGAGGTTATTTTCCTCATGAGCCTTGTTTTGTTTCCTTTCTTCTTTGATTGTCATGTTACATTGCATTTCTGGATGTACACAGCAGTTTGTTTTTCAAATCAAGTAAATGCCCAATAGTCCCTTGGAAAACATGTCAGTATAAAACCGCAATATCTATTTCACTATAGATTAAATGTGTTAATGAGGCTGTCAGATTCTATGATAATCTCAAGCTTTGCTATGTGATATCAGATATAGCAAATGAGATAATACTATGTCTAACTATGCCTATTAAGTGAGCTATGGCATTCAATAAAAACTTGAATTTGTCAATGAATCTTTACAATCCTTTTCATCACCTTATTTAGGAGACTGTTGATTAAATCTCCTTATTTTTCTGCTACCTTCTTAGGTTAACACTTCTGGCAGAACAATGGAAAGAGGACAGAAATCAATGGTCAATTTGAGGCTTAAATTTAACATAGGAGAGAAGGAATAGAACATTCATGTACTGCAAATAATAAAAATTGGCAAACAGACTAACTGTTATTGAGCTCTTACCAGTATTGCAGTTATTGTTCTAAGTCCTTCACATGTATTCATTTAAGTCTCATGACTCTATAAGATAACTGATATTTTATTGGCCAAAGCAAGTTATGGCCAAGCCTGGAGTCACTGTGGAAGGGGGACCTCAACCCCACCTCTTGATGGAAGTAGTGCAGACTGTGGGCATTTATGATCCACCACATTAAGAAACTAGACTCAAGGAGCAACATTTTTTTTTTTTTTTTTTTTTTGGGTATCACTGAGCCACATCCCTGGCCCTATTCTGTGTTTTATTTAGAGACAGGGTCTCACTGAGTTGCCTAGCACTTGCCATTGCTGAGGTTGGCTTTGAACTTGCAATTCTCCCATCTTAGCCTCCCTCCTGCCTCAGCCTCCTGAGCAGCTGGGATTACAGGCATGCACCATCACACCAGGCACAAACATTTTTTCTTTGAAGAGCCAGACCTTGGGTCTTTGTACTTGTGAAAGCAACCATGGACATATATTTAAGCAAAAAGGTGTAATTGTTCTTGTAAAACTTTATAGTCATGCATCACTTAACCAGCACACATTCTGTGCATAATTATCCAATTTTGTCATTGTTGCAAACTTAGGTAATTATGCAAACCTAGAAAGTACAACTATTTCTCCTAGGCTACAAATTTACAGAGCATATTATGTACTTCATACTATAAGCAATTGTAACATAATGGTAAGCATTTGTATATCTAAACATGGAAAAGATAGAATAAAAATGCAAGGTGACAGGAATTTTTCAACTCCATTACCATTTTATTGTGCCATCATCCAATATGTATTGTGTTGTTGACTCAAATATCATGTACTATGTTACTGTAGTTCCCCAAACAGTAGTCCTTGTTAATTTATTATTTGAGGATCAATGCCAAAACCTATTGCAGATTGAAACTGGCCTTAAGGAGTAAAAATGAGAGAAGTTTCCCCAATGTTGACTCCTTTGAGCCCCAATTTGAAAAGCATTGACATTTTCTATAGTAACTCTTTTTAAAAATCTGTCCTCTAAGAAATAGGAACCAGGGAAAGTCAAACAATTTTCCCTATTGTAATTTTGGAAGAGGTGAATTGTGACCATTTTTAGACTTGACTGTGGGCTCTCATCATGGCCAAAACGCTATTCAGGATTCAAGGATGCACACAATAAAAGTAGCTATACTGACTATATAAGTTACTTCTTTTAAAGCTTAAAATATACCAATCAAATCAAAATTATTTCTCCCTATTTTAAAAATAGGGGGAAAAAGAATTTATAAGAGAAAAGTTTCTATTTCCAGTTAATAATTATGTTTTGAGAGTCAACATTTGAAACTAGCACCAGAATTTTCTGAACATGTGCTATGTGAAGAGCCGTGAAATTTCGTTATGATTGCATAGACCACCATTTACTTCTGTTTTTCATACTGCCATTTTCTCCATGTCTTAGATCAGTCTACTTTTTTACCCCCACCCCCAATACCCCAAAATCCTATTTCTGGGGAGGTGGATTTGAGACCTACTCTCCTGTCTTCACATGTGGTCATCTTGTGAATAAAACTCTTGTTTTTTGAAAAACTTGTTTCAGTTATTGGTATATTGTATGAGAGCAAAATAGGCCTGGTTCAGTAATATTATTTGATTTTTGAAGTGGTTACTTGAAGAAGTTATTACTTTGAGCTATCAAGTTCTAGTTTTTATTAGAATAATGTGCTTTTTGTTTGTTTTGCAGGAAACTGTATACAATGATAGTTGGCCAATCTATTTTAAAGCTAGTGGTGGACGACAAATGATATTCAAACAGTATAAAATGCACATATATAGACAGGCCATTTTTTTAATGGTTTCCTTTTCAAAAAGTTTGAGATTAAAGTATATTTGCTCTGGAGTCAAACATTTATATTTCTAAATTGTTTTCTGGAAATTAAAAAAAAAACTGCAATAAATAAAATCCTGTTTCACCCTTGATTTGTATCATGAAAGCACACATTCGCCTACCCAAAAGAAAACCATCATTAATATAGTTGACAATATTTAGACAGAAAAAGCTTTCAGATGAAATTTTAGGCCTATAACAACCAGAAGGCTAGAGTTCCTGCTTTGCCCCACCTGATGAAATCTACTGTAACTTAGGTAGTAGTACACTTTGAGACACTGCACTCTGAATTCCTTACAGAGTCATTAGTCTATACAGAAGAGATCTCTAGCACTTTTGTGCAAAATAGTTAACCTTTTATTCTCTCTAAAATGTAACAGAACAGGTTTTTGCTTGTTTTGGAAATCACTAATGGTATTCTTAACTATGTAGTATGTTATAAGAAGCTTTTACCATTTAATTTATTTTAAAAAATTATAAATTATGATTTAGCATTATCAGGAAGTCATGAAAGACCAAAGTGTATTAGGCATGGTTCCATTTATCCCTTAACTTATACCCCATAAAAAATAACATGGCACAATAGAGGATTAATTCTAAAACTGTAATGGTTGTTATCACTGTTACAAGAGGAATGTGAACTAAAGGAGAAACAGTTGTTTTTCTAGTTGAATAATTTTAAGAACTTGATTTTAATTGGTTTCAAGTTGAACTGAAGTCTCAGCTACTTTAATGATAGCCATAGAAATTAGATTGGGGAGAGTGACTAAAATATTATATCTTTTGTGGCATATTGACCTTGAAGGGTTAGAAAAACATTCAAACTTTAGTTCCAGTTTCTGGAAATGTAACAGAAGTCATCTACACTGTGATAAAATTTGAAGCCAAAATGAAAATTGGATTTATTTAGGGAAAGCAGAGCAGTGGTTTTCACAATATAGTCTGTGGACCAGCATCTTCAACATATCCTAGAAAGTTGTTAGAAAAGGAGATTTTCAGGCCTCATCTCTTATCTCCTGAATCAGAAACTCTGGTGATGGGGCTCAGCAGTTTGTGTTTTAGTTCTCTAAGGGATTTTGAAGCACACTGGGCTGGAAGAAGAAAATGGAAAAGCACTAAAGATTCAAGTTTAAGGTTTGCAAGGCTAGACAAGAAGTCGCAGTTCAAAAGGATCCTTGGAAGTGAAATAGCCCGAGTAGAAAGTAATCAATATTTTCAAATTCTACAGGAAGGTTGGTTCTATGTAGGATATTTGTATACAAGGTGTGGCCTTGTACAAGCCTTTAAACCTTGCTGAGTCTCAGCTCACTATAAAATGAATCATGCCTCAAATCTTAGAATGATTTTCAATTAAATTGGATAGTAGGTATTAATGGTATTACAAATCCAAAGATTTATGAAGTAACTAGTCTTTCCATACAATAACCATGAAATTTGGACGTAATTTGTAAATTAATTCAGTGCTGAAATTCTCAAAAAGGACTAGTGTTTTCAAAGTGTTCCCATGTACTTAAGTGCTGGTAGAGCAGACATTGGTATCTGCTATATACCTGGATAACTTTCTTAGATATCAAGACTATACAAGTCCTCAGGGACTGGCATGGGTGGAAGAGAGTTCTTATATCCCAGATATAAATTTTTATATCTTCCCATGTGTGACATTTAAAATGGTTGAATCAACTTTTGACTGTTTATGAACACTAGAAACACAGAACTTGTTATATTTTGGGGAAAGCAACAGATTCCATACTGATGAGAAATTTGTTCTTTTGGGGGGTGAGAATTAGAAACTGACAACAAGTTATCACTTATTCTGATTTACCAGATGGAGAAACTGAGGTATACAGTAGTGATGTTTAAGGTGAGCATTATGTATAGACAATAGAGTTTACCACAGAGATAGTATGACTTGATAGGTGCTTAAATTCCTCATTGCCTCCAAATTTGTGCCCTGACAATCTGCCAGGATACTTGAAATTCCTGCTATTATATTTAAAGTTATTCCTTCAAGGTTATCAAAATTCTCAATGAATGCTTATATAAATGAACAAACAAGAGACTAGAGACCTAGGGTCACTTCAGTTGGATATGTGCCTTATCTGAAAAGGGCTTATCCAGAATATATGTATATAATTTATAACTACTATCCGGGTGCAGGGCTTTGATAGAGTAGGATCCAGTGGGTAATTTTTATGTAGTGAATTGGTAGGATAATGACTGGAGTTTGGAATATCCATCTTGTCTTCTAAGATCTGAGGTAAAGTGGGAAAAGTAATACATTTGTATAACCTGAATGTTGCATGAATTTTGAAATATCAAAGGGAAGTGAAGCTGAGCATGATGGTGCACGCCTATAATCCCAGTGACTCAGGAGGCTGAGGAAGGAGGATCTCAAGTTCAAGGTCAGACTCAGCAACCTAAGTTACTTAGTAAGACCCTAAAATTTTAAGAAGGGGTGAGGATGTAACTCAGTGGTAAAGCAACTCTGGGTTCCATCCCCAGTAACCCCGTGCCCAAAACAAAACCAAAGGGAAGTAAATAAAGTGAAGATTCAACTCTGTGTTATATACTTAACAATAAATTCTCTAATCCTGCAGCCCCATATGGTCATATCTGCACAGAGCTGAGTTAAAAGACAAGCATACACCAACCCAAAATACAGTATAAAGAAACACCAACATTAAAGGAGATCCTGTTCATAAGCCATAGCAATCCTGTATAAACCCATTCCTTCAGTTCTAAATTCTGCTCTAGACTTTCCCCACTAATCTACATAATTTCCTATTTGCCTGTATAGTTTAACTTAACCTTTTATGCTAAGACCTCCCACCTTTCTACTGCTTCAGTCCCCACATTTGCGAATTCTCTTTTCCATAGTCAAGTGGGGTGAGGCAAAGAATTAGCCAACAGTC